CCCGCCCGGTCGCGGCCGCGCGCTGCGGGGGGAGGAGCCCTGCGGCAGGCTTCGGCGTGGCTCACTCTGTTTCTTTCCTTCCCGGGGACTTGGGGGACAGCCGGCCGCTGGCGTCCCCGGAGCGCGGGGTTTCCGGCCAGGCGGCCCCGGGCGGCCCCGCAGAGGCCGGCTCGGCATGGCCCTGGTGCCCTACGACGAGGCCGCGCGGCCGGCGCTCCCGAAGTTCCACGAGCCCTTCGCCACCTTCCGCTTCGCCGGCCACACCGTCCGGGTCCGTCAGGACTGGAGGCAGCTGGGGGTCGCAGCGGTGGTTTGGGACGCGGTAAGTCAGCCCCGGGGCCCTGCGAAGACGGCCGCACTTCGTTGTGACCCAGACTGGCTTTTACTGTAAAAAAGAAAAACCCCAGCTCTACGAAGCGTGCTTCACGTACCATGCACTTCACCTATTTAAAAGGCACAAATTCGGTGGGTTTAGAAAAAAGTATACTCAGAGTAACGCGACTGTCACAAGTTTTAAACATTGTCCCCACCCCCGCAGTCCCGCGCCCCTTCCCCTGCCCAGGCACCCCTTTTCTTCCCCCAGGCACACTGGCTTTGGAGGGTCACTGGCTCAGTTACTATCCCGAGGGTAAGAGGGGACTGACAGGAAAGCAGGCGGACCCCCGACCCGACCTCTGGGGACTCGGGAAGTTAGACTTGTGAAAATACGGCACCAAGAGTATGTAAGTGACAAAACCCCAGAACGTGTGCCATGGTTTTGTGTTTGAGTTTTCCATAGTAGCAGGAGGGTTGTAGAATTAGAATGGCTTTTCTACCTCTTCTAGCCCTGCTGTCTGTCTGAGGAGGGTGACTGGTGTCCGGGCCCCTCCCACCACCTTGGACTCTGGGGGAGGAGGGCTCACTTCATGTTAAATCAGTGATTGGAAGAAATACATTTTACAGTCTTAACATTATATTAGGGATGGCATTTAGGAATAAAAAAATTAATATATGCTTTCTTTTTGAGACCAAGTCTTGTTAGGTAGTTCAGCCTGGACTTGCACTAAATGTGTAGGCCAGGCCGACCTCAAACTCAAAAGCAATCCTCCTGCCTCAGCCTCCTGAGTGCTTAGATTACGGGTGTGTGCTATCATACCCGGCCTAAAATACTAATATATTAAACTTAGTAATACTAGTTTTAGGAACTACATGGAAACTATTCCAAAGTAACTACGTGGAAATATTCTAGTAAGTAATAATAATAAAACAAAAAACGATAATAAGGAACGGGATGCTTCCTAAACGCTCACCAAGTAGAGGAAATGGCAATTACAGTGTGAAAAACAACATAATAAATGATGTCAACATTATATGATTCCTGTTACAGGATCGTAGGTAAATGCTAATGCACGCATCGTGTTTTGAGCATGCTCACTCACATTCAGTGCTCAAGGATGGTGAGGCAGCTCAGGGAAACCCCTGGGCCTTGCTGTGCTTTTTCCTTGGGGGCAGTTGTGGCTGTGTCGATCTGAGCTTGGTTTGGGAACCAGACATAGCCTTAAATGCAATCACAGGGGTCGTTTGTGCCAGTTCTTCCCTAGTAGTCCTGTAGATGTTAGCATGAGCATGCCTGGGCCTGCCTCCCGCTGCCACTGTGAGGGCCTTCAGGTCCGCCGTGCTTGCGCTGGCCCTCGGAGCTCACCCCGCTGCAGTGCCTAGCTCCCGTGCATGTTGGTACACGGGATGGCGTGACAGAGCCAGGTGGGTGTGCTTGGTCTTCTGTAGTGGTGTAGCCACCGAAACTCAGTAGCTCCTGGTGCGCTGCTGGCTGCATCCTAATCACGCCATGTTTTGACTCAGGCCGTCGTTCTGTCCACGTACCTGGAGATGGGCGCTGTGGAGCTCAGGGGCTGCTCTGCCGTGGAGCTGGGGGCCGGCACGGGGCTGGTGGGCATCGTGGCTGCCTTGCTGGGTGAGTGTGAGCAGAACTCCCTGAGACGTGCATTGTTTTCCTGGCACAAAACCCATTGTTAGTTTAATTTCTTTCTGCCGTGCTTATGGGCTGCAAATTTCTTCTCTCTCACTGTTACCCTGTCATTTCTGCTTTTCATGGCAGATCAATTTGCCCCCTTTTATTCTGTGACACCAATGATATGACCTTAAAGTGACTTCAATTTCCAGGAGATTAATCCATGTATATAGTTTTATTCAGATTAAGATGCTTAAATCTATACCAACTTCCCTTCCTACTCATATGAAGAGAGTTCCTGGAAGGGGAATGAGGTTTTTTCTGTTTTCTCCTGAGAAGCAGAGTTGATGCAAAGCTTTATAGGCCGGTATAGAAGCATGTCAGTGTGCTAAAATGCACAGGTTTAGTTCTACTGGGGTTTCACATTTCTTTTAACTCTTACTTTCCGTGTGATCTTGGGTCATCCAAAGGTGATTTCCCCACTCGCAAAAAGGGGATAATAACAGTATTTACTGAAGTGTGAAGATTCAGTGCTCTGTGAATAACAACTGCTATTTGGAATATTTCTGATCTAGAAATTTGTGTCTGTGGAGTTGGGAAAGTTGGGATACGGTATTTCAAATAGTATCACAGGGCCATGCATTAGTTGTTCACAGGAAAGACTCAGTTCTGTGAGATGGAGCAGCTGCACAGGGCAGATGTTCTGGTGATCAGGAGATGTGCTCCTTGCTACCCAGCTCTATTCTTAGTACTCCAAGCCCTGTCCTGCCGCCCCAAGGAATTCACTGCTGCCCTCTTTCTTCTTGCACATGGGTGGTCACTTCACACATCTGTCTGTCCTGTTAGGGTGGGGCCTGAGGAATGGGACCGTATATCATGCTCTGTGTCCTTGGCCCTAGAATAGCAAATAAGAGATGAACAAACTGGATTGATGGTTTTTTGAAAATTAATGAAAAAAAAGAAAATGTTTCTGTTATTAAACTGGTGTAACTCATAAAAATTATGCATTACTCTGCAACATAATTGCCATTAGCATTTGGTGCATTTCCATTCTTTCGCCATCTGTATTTTTAAATTATAAAACTAATTATGGTTATTTATATGTATGCATGTGTATATATATATATATATACACATACATATAAGAATGTTTAACACATTATAAACATTTCTCTGTTCTACTGTATGATCTCCAACTTAATTGCTGTGAAATGTTAGACTGGAGCAGTTTTGATATTGAAGCCTGAGGGTAAGAAAAAAATGTCTTTAGAAATAGAACTAAAACACATAGAGATTTTGAAACATAAGAAAGTGATTGTTTTCCTTTTAAAAGTGTTTTGCCTCCTGTAATCTTAGTCACGTATTCTTGATTTCAGGGAGCACCTACTTACTTGTGCCTGGTACATCACTGTGGTTAGAGCAGTGAACAGCAGGCAGATAGGTGCCTCAGAAATGTTATCTTCTAAGTATAGTGGGAGGGGGAGAATACAGACAAATTACATTTTAAAAGCCTCCCCCTGCAAAACAAGTGGTTAGTGCTGTGCAGAATGTTAATATAGGGCGAGGAGACTTTCCCGTTAGAAGAGAATTACAGCTGCTAATTATTGAGCAGTTCTGTGTTCTGGCAGAGTGTGCTGCATCCATTCTCATAGCCACCCTGCATGTAAATAGACCTGGCCTTAGAATTCTTTTCAGGTGGTGAGAGCAGGGTTAAGACAGAGGACATAACCTGAGCAAGGTCACAAAGCTAATGGGTTGTGGTTAGAGTGTGAATCCAGTCTGACTCTCATACTTTGGTTCTTAGTTTGAAAAATCTCTCCAGCCTTCACACAGTTTGGGAACTATTTGTAGAATTAAAATAGCCACTCTTGAAGACGTGATTCTTTAAATTGGATTAGGGTCAGGGAATTTGGATTTTAAAAGCTTCCTGTGTGATCTGATGACCGACTAGGCCTAAGGACCATTGTCTTAAAATATAGTGCTCAGGAAGGAACTGACTGACTTTTCTCTAATTCTCTGCAAATCTCTACTGAACTTTTGACTTGTACATTTAACTGAAAGCCAGATATTTCTGCCTGGCTGTTTCCCAGTGTCTCAAACAATACTTGTGAAAACTCCTGTCCCTTCCAAGCTGGTTCTTCCTCCGTTGTTCTGAGTTGGCCTCACTGTCCCAGGAGTCACCGGCCAACTCCTTGGCACCCCCAGCTCATTGAGCCCTGCAGTCTTTGAACCCCCGTGTTCTCCAACAGTCCGTTTCCCCTCCCACCCTGGCTTGGGCTCTCATCCTCTATCTGCTGGGTGACCGCTGCATCCTCCCACCTAAACTTTCTGCCTCTGCTTTGTCATCTCAAATCTACTTTTCTCAGCAGCTGTCACTGTGTCCCATCTAGAAGCAAAATTCATGAGGTGACCTGTTTTTAAACATTCTGTGCTTTCCTATTGCCAGGCTTCTTAGTAAGATTTTTTAATTTCATCTTTCTTGACTCTTCAGCCTCTCTCTTTAAAAAGGTCCTGGGGCACACACTGAGCTCTGGTCTCTGCCTTTTGCCCTGAGTGATCCTCTTCTCCCCTTTCCCTCGGTTATGCCATACTTAAGTGTAAGCTCAGGTTTCCCTTCCTGTGACTTCTGCTCCTCTTGAGAAATTTCTCCTTTATAACTGCGTGACTTCCTGTGCATACCTGCGTTCCTATTATTTTGCTTCCTTTACCACATCAGTTATGTTTACATGATCTGTCCTGTGACCACGGGAGCCCTGGGTAAGGACTGTCTTGCTCATCTTCGTGTCTCCAGCACGTAAGATATGCTTGAATATTTGAATACATTAAAGTGTTGCGTATAACGGTGGAGGCACACTGTTACACATTCTTGTCCTATTTCTACTGGAGGACAGCATGCTGTGTTTCTTACTGCGTCAGGTTCCATTCTTCTGTTATGAACTCAGTATTCTCACTTTCTTCCTTATGCAGCATAAATCTTCTGGGTGGTCAGTTTATTGCCATTTTCATATATTGTCAACACTGTGCATGCCAGTGCATCATCTTACTTACTTGGCTCAAAACAACCCAGGTGAAATGCAGTTTTCACAGGCAGTGGGTGTGGCTGGAGAGAGCTCTGCTGCTGGCTGTCACTTTGACATTCATGATCCAGCAGCTTCTTTTCTGGTGGTGGTGGTGGTGGTGGAAGTGCTGGGCAGGGACATTTCCCTGAGCTGCATTCCCAGTCTTCATTATTTATTTTGAGGCAGGGTCTCACTGAGTCAGTAAGTAGCCCAGACTGAGCTAGAACCTGCAGTCCTCTTGCCTCAGCCTTTCAGAGTTCTGGGATTCTAGGTGGGCACCACTCTGCCAGCTCTCAAGAAGATCTGGATGCTTCTGGCCAGTCACACTCTAGCTGCTCTCTTACTCTGCCGATTTTCATGTTCTTTTAGCTTTCAAACTTCCACTTGTTCTCATTTTTCACTCTCCGCTGCTGACATTCCTCATTTCAGTGCAAAGCCTTGAGCAACCTGAAGGGAACTCCATAGCCTCCCTCCACTGCCTCCCGGCACCTGGGTCTGGATTGCAGGCCTGGCTTTGCTCGTTTAGTTGAATGTCTTGTCCTATGTGAGTGAGTACCCAACTTGTGCCTTAGATCCTGTCTGCTCTCACCTATTCAAGGATGTTGCTCCTGCATTGCCACTTTCCTCCCTTTCTACTTGATCATTTCCATCAGCATATAAACTTGCTTTTACTTCTCCCATCTTAACAAAGTAAGAGATATGAACTTCTAAAGTGGTTGGCTCTCAGTCTGTGGCAGGAAATAAGTAAGAGGACCCTGGAATATCTTCATAGAGATAGCAGGGAAGCTGTCAAAGATGCCTAGGATTGTGTCAGAGGTCACTGGCAAAAGATGGGATAATTTGAATGTCAGTAATAATAGTGTCCGTGGGTTAAAATACATGAAGTATGTTTCGTTCATGTGTTCACAGCAACAAAGTTAACCCAGGGAGTTATCTTTGGAGGATGCTGAGAAATTCAGTCTTTATTTTGAAATCTGGCTTGTGAAAGAGGATGGAGAAGCAAAAGCTATTCTTTCTTACTCAGTTACAAAATGAGTAACTACTTCTCCACAAGTATAAAAAGAACTAAAGAAGTAAGGATCTGAGTATTGAGGCTTAATGGCTGCAGGTGTCTCAAAAATAGAGCCTGCCAGACATTATGGACTTCTTGCAAAACACACCACTACCTCTGAAGTAGTCCCACTCAAAAAATCTAACGCAGACAAGTTTACAGGAGATACAGTGGACAAAGGCACATGTAAAACTACACAAATGATGATTGTGGGAAACCACAGGACAAACAACCTGTGCCTTCATCCAACTGCCAGGGGGGAAAATGATGGAAAGGAAACTGACAATTTAAAAGACAGGCATAAGACATCCTCTATACCTCCCACCCCAAACAAGCAAAACAAAACCAAGGGCAAAGCTGTAACGGGCAAGAATGGACTTTGAAATGATAAAGCTCAAACACACAGATAGGGGAGAGATTTCCGTGAAAGGCAGAATAGATAGTGGAGGGCAGGTTGCATTTGGGAACTGGCCCTGGAGGGTGTTCAGTTGCCACAAGGTGAGGCCACCAGCACCCTTCACCTGGACCACTGTGGAGGCTCCACTCATTTCCTTACTTCTGGCCTTGCCCCCCACCAGAGATACTGTTAAAAATCCAAGTCAGACTGTTCAAACTTATGCTCAGCATTTTCCAGTGGCTTCTTGTCTCACCCAGTAAAAACCAGAACCTCTCTGAAACATGACTGATGAGGCTGTCGATGATGAGTCATGCTCCCTGTGACTTCTCCGGCCTCCTCTCCTGTGACTGTGTTCCTCATTCACCCTTTCCCAGCCGCACTGGCCTCCTCCTGCCTGCCTGGAGTGCTCATCCCTGGTTCACCTCTCGCTGTGCCCTCCCTCCCTCTCTCATACCCTGCCCAGCACTATCTCAACGATGCCTTCCCTGTATACCTAAACTGCACCTTCGTACCTTTCTTCCTCAAATTTCACGCTTCTCATTTTTGCTTTACCTTTTTCCGTAGTTGTATCACCAACTGACAAACTGAGTATTCTACTTTTTAAAAGGAAACATATTTCCTGTTTCCTCACTTGAATGTGAGTGGTGTGAGGGTAGGAGTATTTGTCCCCCAGTTGGTGGTAGTCGGTGAGATATTTATTATAGAGGAATGGTCAACAGACACTAAGATCTATTCAAACTTCTGAAATACTTGGCAGGTTAGAAGTAGCCTCTAAAATCCCTGAGACAGGCACTAGAGAAGCTGTTAAAATTAATACTGGATTGATGCTGAAAAGAATAGATCACTCCTGTATTGCCAGAAGAGTGCTCCGTGAACCAGTAAGGAATCCAGAGTTGGCCAGGAATGGCAGCAGACATCTTTAGTCCCAACTACTCCGGAGGCTGAGGTCAGAGGATCACTTGAGTCCAGGAATTCGAGGCTGTTTTGGGCAATATAGCGAGACCTCATCCTAGAAAAAGGGGAAAGGGGCTGAGTAGGGTAAGGGAGAGAGAAAGGAGAGGTGGGAAGGAGGAAGAAAGAAAGAAGGAGGGAGGGAGACCGACATCAAACCAGGAAGAGGTACACCGTCTAGTGGTGAATGCTCAAAGGGGCTCATGAAGTGCAGGCTTGTAAATCTAACATCTTGAACATTTTCATCTGCATCACACTCTAGGACTATAAATGTCAAATTGAATTACGTACCGCCATCGTGTTACATGTCAGGAAACACCAGGTGTAAGCTGTGCAGAACAGTGCTGGCCACAGCTGGTCTGAGACTGGGAGACTGATTAAAAAAGGATGCAAATGAAAAATACTTTTGTGAAAGAATGAAACATAATTCTAAATGTCAGAATTCCTGAGACCAAAATGAACATGATCACACTTTTGTAGATGAGGTATATCAGGGCTGACCTAATGTGATTGCGTCACCTTAGGGGAAATAGTTCCCTTCTCACATTCATATGGGTTAAAACAATAGTAAAGCTTTTAGTTCACTGTCAGTAACCCACAAGATCAATTCCCAGTACCACCAAAAAAAACAAAAACCAACAAAAAACCCCACAATAAACAGATCAATAAAAGCCTACCTCATTAATTTTCTGCATTGAACCTAGAAACAGTAAGAAGAGAAACTAGCATTTTAACTTGCATTTCTGAGATATTATGTATTCTTTTTTTATTTTGGCAGTACTGGGGATTGAGCTCAGGACCTCATGCATGCTAGTTAAGTGCTTTACCATTGATCTATATCCACAACCCTTTTTTTGAGGTAGGATTTTGCTAGGTTGCTCAGAGTTGTCTCAAAGTTGCAGTCCTCCCTGCCTCAGCCTCCCAAATAGCTAGGATTATAGGCATACGCTACCGAGTCTAGCTTACAATAGTTCTTAAGTGTACAGTTTTCAGTGAATATGTATGCATTACATAAACACACAGGGTTAGCTGCTTCAAAGCAGAATAAGGAGAGTTGGACTGGGATTCCTCAGTAGCCAGTTTCTCTCTTTTGCTGCTTTAAAAAACTTTAACCCTACAAAACCACATTTCCTTGTTTTTGTTATCTTTGTAAAAGTACTCTGCTTTCAGATTTTTCATTCTTGGATTCCCATTTTACCCTGAGGCGTGCTGACTTGGTCGTGGTCTAATGAATGAAGTATAGCATTAGATATGTGTGAATGGTGGGGCAGTTCTGCTTGCAGAATTGAGAATCATTCGCTGTGTCACTTGGTGACACTGTAGTTTACAAGCCCAAATTCAGAAAATAGCAGGTGTGTTAGGGAGACAAATCAGAAGCTGACTGTTACCAGAAAGCAATGTAGAGGAATTACATTCCAATTGTTTGTGAAGGACATAGATATATTGTGTATTAGATAAAATATTTAGATCACTCTTTTGTTTAATCTGACCCCCTCTCTACCAACAGTTATACTGATTTGTTCATTACTTTCTCTTTGTCCCACACTGTAGGTGCTCATGTGACTGTCACGGATCGAAAAGTAGCATTAGAATTTCTTAAATCAAACCTTCAAGCCAACTTACCTCCCCATGTCCAAACCAACACTGTTGTTAAGGAGCTGACTTGGGGACAAAATTTGGAGAGTTTTTCACCTGGAGAATTTGACCTGATACTTGGAGCTGATATCATATATTTAGAAGAAACATTCACAGATCTTCTTCAAACGCTGGACTATCTCTGTAGTCACCACTCTGTGATACTTTTAGCTTGCCGAATTCGCTATGAACGGGATAACAACTTCTTAGTGATGATGGAGAGGCAATTTACTGTGAGTAAGGTTCACTATGATCCCGAAAAAGATGTCCATATTTACAAAGCACAGAAGAGAAGCCAGAGGGAGGACTTATAGTTGGGTATAAGGATATTGGCCCTAAAAAGGTCAGTTAAGATCTTAGACTGGGAATCTAACCATATTTCATGAGGTGGCTTAGTCTGTCTAAAGAAAGGGTCTCAAGGGATAAAACACACATGCAGTTTTAAAACAGAGCAGGGCTTTGTTGCATTGTGATTCTTAGACATATTTTACTGCTCTGAAATTCAGTTAGCATTAAACTGCGAGATTTGGGGTTGTTATATCCTGTGTTTCTCTACCTTGATAAAATTTCCACTGATATGAGGACAGGCTGGTGTAAAGATGTCTCTAAACTACTCAGCTTGTTTTGGTGAAGTGAAGTCATGTAGCTTATTTTAAGAACACTGTGAAATACATAATTGTTCTCCCAGTTTTCTAATTTTCTGAATAAGGAGGTTAACACATACTCTGAGCTTTTAGTGCTCTTGAAGTCTTGACCCATTCAGGTATTAAAAGATTTTGTAATTGTTGAGATTAGGATGGGAGTTGAGGTTCATGTCCTGTTTTTTTGGCTTAATTTTGGGAGGAAGTATATAAACAAAGGAATAAGTAAAAAAATTTGAGTTACTTTTTGAAAGCATCAAAAGTCTTGGACTGGAAGCTTTGCCATTTCTGACATTTTTGTACATCTATTTCCTAGGCCAGAGATGGTGAGCCTTTTAGAGACTGAGTGTCCAAACTGTAATCTAGAACCTACGTATTTATCACAAAGTGTCAACACTGCAATTAAACCTGAATATCTGATGCTCGGCTGCTGGGGTGACTGAGGGCTATGTGTGCCCTCTGTGGCATGTGTGCCATAGGTTACCACTGTCCTGGCTTTCCCTGCCTCTTTTCATCCCTTCTCAAAAAACCTCCCCGCAACCCCAGCCCACTCACCTTCCTGTGTGTGGCACCTACACTTGCTTATTCAGTGTGGGTATTCCTGGTAGGCTGCAGGCTGCCAGAGGCCCAGGAAGGTTTCTGCCTCTTTAAAGCATTGCTGCTTTCCTCACATCTAGTGTATGACAGCAAATAATGAAAAAGGTACGTTCCATTTAGAGAGTACTGACTTTGGCTTAAATGATTGCTATACTGTTTTGATTCTTTCATAGACTTTATGAATGAAGTCACTAAGAGTGAACTTTTCTTTTTACGGTGTACAAGTTTAAATGGAGTTTAAACAAATTTAGACCACAAGCATATTCTAATCTCATATGGTATTTGTAATAAAGAGAGGTTTAGAAACTATTAAAAATAAGACCTTATCCTTTTTAACCTTTTAATGAGTATTTTGTGTGTGGGAATACCTAATTTATTTTCTACATACATTTATTATTTTGGGTGAGGTTTGAGACAGGGTCTCACTATGTAGTTCAGGCTGGCCAGAAGCTCTTAGTGATCCTCCTAGCTCTGTCTCCAAAGGGCTGGGATTCCAGGAGTGTGCCTCTATACCTGGCTTCAGTATGCTTGTTTCATCCTTAAATACAGAAGTCCAGATCAAGCCATTTTATTCTCAAGTACAGAAATCTAGATGAAGCCAATTTTACTAAGCCTTGACTTTCATTGTTCCATTTCTTTAACATTTATGCAGCTAAGTAATCCAGTGCATACCAGTAACTCCTCTAATTAGTATCAAATATTGTTCAGGCACTATATTAAAATACATGTATGATACCAGACTATTTGAACTCCACTAGAAGGAATGCTCTTGTTCTTCAGGCAGTTTCCTCCTAAGGTAGCTTGCTTTAGTTCTTCATAGAACTCTTTGAAGCCAGTACCATCTTCAGGTAGTTTCTTTTTTTTTTTTTTTTGGTTTTTTTTTTTCTCTGGTACCGGGAACCGAACTCACGACCTTGCGCTTGCCAGGCAGGCGCTTTTGCGGCTGAGCTAAATCCCCAGCCCCTTCAGGTAGTTTCTAACAGAACATTTTACACTAAAGGATCAGAATTCTGACCCATCAGAATTCTTTCATTGAATACAAGACTTTTTTTAGGGCAAAATACAGCCCTAAAATGGAATGTTCATCTCAGCAAATACAACTTACACTCTGGAAGATCAGGATACTTTAGTAAGGAGGAATTGATTCTTAGGGATCTTCAGTAACAATCACATTAGTTTATGTACGATCTACCTCCAACAATCATACTACTTGCTTTTCTTTTTTTTTTTTTTTTTTTTAATGCTGGTGCTGGGAATTGAACTCAGGGCCTTGTGAATACTAGGGAAGTGCTGTACCACTGAGCTACATCCCTATTAGCTCCCAACTGCATACTTCTAGTTTATGGGAAGCATTTGCTACCAGTTTGTAAATTAACAAAATGAAACTTTATTATAAAGTTCTTAAAAATTACAACATTCAGTATTGTAAGTGGAGCTAGACATGGGGCCTGACTTAAGAGCCAATGAAATAGATGTGATTTTTAGTGTTAGAGCAAAGTAGCAGTTTGTTGTTTTTGTTTTATGTTAAATGAGTTAAGTCAAGTCTTGCAGAGTGCTGCTCTTGGGAGCTGGAGTCCATGTTCTCTTAGCACTCACATGAGCAGCATAGTCTGGGGAGTCCTCAGCTGTTTCACTTTAAAACTTGAGACTTTATTGTTAGCTCGAAGTCTTACTCTAAAAGCATGACATACTCTTGTGTCTACAACTATGGGTTAAAAAGATCTAGCAACAGAAAAGATGGAATATTTAAAAATTAATCCCTGAGAATATTTGAAGATTAGAAGGGAAAATAGTACTAACAGAAGCAAAAGGGAAGCCTACCTAGTAAACCTTGCATAAGGCTGGTTCTGCTACTGTAAGAAGGAATTTTTCTAATTCTTGTGTATATCTAGTATATATATATATACAACTTTCAAAAGTTTAAAACAATCTAATGGGAACAGTTTATAATCCACCATTTGTGTAAACAGTGTAAGAGTGAATGTACACGTGTGTACAATTGAGGTTGTCACTAAAAACATGTACAAGAAACTGCTTTTTACTGTGCCTAATGTTAAAATGTTTAGTTGTACTGGGAATCGAACTCATGACCTCAGGCTTGCCAGGCAAGCCCTCATGCCGCTGAGCTTTGAGACAGGGTCTCCCTATGCAGTTCAGGCTGGTCTCTAACCGTGATCCTCCTGCCTCAGTCTCCCAAGTGCTGGGATTACAGGAGTGCACCACCATGCCCGGTGTTACCAGTGTGATTTTAAAAAACAGTGAAGACAATTATCGAGAAAGTAAAAGCTTGCAGAATGGGATAAAATACAAGGATCTATCTATACATTATATATAAGGAATTCTTGTAATTCAACAAGAAAACCCAGTTACAAAATGAACACAACACTTGAACAGACATTTCTCCAAAGATATGCAAATGACTAAGAGAAAAACATGCGCAATACCGTAAGTTATTAGGGAAATGTAAATAAAAAAAACTGCAGTTGAGTTTACACGACACCTGTGAGGGTAGCCATAATTTAAAAATTGTAGAACAAATGTTGGGGAATATATAGCAAAATAGGAAGCTTTGTACATCAATGGAATAAATAAGGCATCTGTCGAGGGAGTCTGGCATCCGTCACAAAGTTACAAATACAGAATTGTTTAGCACACCAATCCCACTCCCAGGTATATACCTCAAAGAATTGAAAACAGAGTTAGATATTTATATATGGATGTTCCAAATACTACTATTCACAATAGCCAAATGGTGGAAACAACCTAAACATTCATTAACAAATGGGTAAACATAGGTATACAATGGATGTTATTTGACTGTAAGAAGGAACGAAGCACTGTACATGTAACAACGTGGATGAACCTCAAAAGACATGTTAAATGAAAGAAGCCAGGCACAAAAGTCATACACATATTACATGACTCCATTTATTTGAAATACTCAGAATTGGTAAATTTATAGAAACAAAAAGCAAACTGGTGGTTGGGAGGGGCAGGTAGAAATGGGGAGTAACTGTTTAAAGGGTACATAGTTTCATTTTGGAGTGATAAAAATGGGAACTGGATAGAAGTGGTAGTTGTACAACACTGTAAATCCATTAAATACCAATGAATTGTTTGCTTTAAAATAGTTGTTATATGAACTGCACCTCAATTAAAAACAGGCAAAAATTAGCATCCATACTCCTGAAAATTACCCTTCTCTTTCGGTCGGCATGTGTAAGATGTGGAGAAATTAAAAGGCACAGTGAGGAAAGACCACTAACGCAGTGCTTTTCCGGGCCTGACAGCAGCAGCACCACTTAAAAATGGAAAAACCCAGCTAAAGAAACGGATCAACAGGAATATTAGAAGTCCTGTTTGGGACCTGTTTTGCAGTCTGGGTGGAAATGACAAATACAGTTCAATGGAGCATAAAGGGCTATCACGGTGTAGAACTGTATTCTTGGATATTATCGAGGTTCTAAGAAAAGGTATACAGAAAAGGGAATTTTCTTGTGACTTCACTGCCCAGAAGTGTATCCTTGATGAATATTTTTTACGTGACAGCAAAGATAGAAAGAGAAGATAGGCACTCTGACTTTTCCAGCGGCCCAGGCACCTGAACTTGGCTTACAAGTAGGATGATAACAGGTTCCAGCCTGTTCAGTGAATCATGGCTCACATGTGAGGTCCCTAGGAAATTAATATCGCCCTTTCACTCTCAAAAATGTTTTCAGTTCATCAATAAATTAAGTGGTCACTTTGAAGAAGCGGAAAAAGAAATTCATGTAATTTTTTCAGTACAGTGACAAGTGTACTAGGCCTAATGAACACATCTTAAGAATTAGAGAAAAAAAGGACATACAATACTTAGGAATAAATATAACTGCTTTTAGAAGCTCCAGAACATTTTTGAGACTATTGTAGGAATCTTACTTGTATACCTTAAACAATGATTAAAACCACATCTCCATTTTACATCATCATGGAATTGTATAATTCTATGGATACCTAGAAAGTTACCTGTTCTTTCAGTGCAAATATGCATTTTATGATACTGGAAATAGAAAGTCATTAATGTCTCCATTAGTTACATCAGTGGGACAATAGCATCTCTAGATCTTTCAGTAGGCACTGTTCAGTTACTGAGAAAAGCAGCTTTGTGCTAAAAGCCAGAACTGCAATAAATGAAGTAACTGAAAGTAAGTTGTTGCCTGAATTAGTTTTCCAATGCTACGCAACACAAACTTGGCATATAGTCTAACACAATTATGTTCATTTAACAAAACTAATAAACCTAAGTCCAAGAAACTGTGACAACAATAGAAGTATGAAACAAGAGATACAATCCCCCCCCAAAAAAGAGACTTACAGAATTTTTAAAAGCATGTTTATGTGACTGCACATAAATGTCTGTGTAAAAAGGGTATTATGACAGTTGATACCACAAAGATTACAGTAAGAAAAAGCACTTTATGACAATATTTCACAAATTCACAAGGATCACTTTAATATACAAAGCAATTGCTACCATTCTGAACACAAAGCAGCTAATATGTACATAGTGTTAATAAATGCATTGTAACTCAGTACATTTTTTTTACACATAAAACAAAGATTTAAGTAAAAAATTAAAACAGGGATGTTTCTAGAATGTAGGGATTATTAGAAATGTATTTCCCTCATTATAGTTATTTAGTATTCAACTCTAATAGAAACATCAGAGTTAAAAATTGATACCCTGTTTTGTGCTGATAGCATTGGGGGAGGTATTCTTTGCCCTAATCCTCAAGGAAAAGTCAAAAAGCCAAACACCTTTCTAGGAACTTCCCTGGTTATTTTTTTCAATCTAAAAAGTTTCAAATGATACATCTGGGTTAAAAATAATTATTTTTGCTGAGGGGGTGGGGAAGGCAGAGATTATCGCTGACAAGTACAAAAAATCGTCAAGGACAACTTTACACAGGAAACTGCTAACTAGCACTCTTCGCCACCCCTATAAATCTATACTCACAGAAAAATGTTGACAGATTATTTGCTTTTAATATAAATAATTTTAGTACATATATACTGGAGTGGCACCTGGATTAAAAGTAGGTCTAATAAAGCATTTACCAATTCAATTTTAAAAACTTAAGAAAATAAAACCTTCCAAACACAATGATAGATCATTTTATGTGGCCAACTAACATAAGATCATTATCTGCAGGGATTTTCTTCCTTCCCTACCAGTTTTTAAACTACCTCAGATTTACTCTCACATCTGAGATATTCTTCGGACAGAAGCTTAGAAATGTCATTCTTCTATAGGCAAGTATTAAAGTAGGTTAAATTTAAATTTTCTACTGTTTGACCCTTTTCAAAGACATTTCCTATAGGTTGTTCATTTTTCTTTTACTTGCTGGTGAAAATAATTTAAAATGTGTCATGTTCTGCCCAGCTGGGACCTGCATCCACAGTACCAAAATGCAGACAGGTCAATATTTTCTCTGTGCTAAACAACTCTGCCCGTTTATAATATCCTCTTACTTTACAGGCTTTGTTCTATTTTATTATTTTTTTAAAATTTTTCTTTTTTTAAAAAATAAATTTCAAGCTAAAACACCTGAAATATAATTCTTCCATTCAAATGTTATCTGGTCCCTCTTAAAGTCTGTCTGCCCCCTGAGGACACATACAAAGGCTTAAGCTACATTCACTCAGTAAGAACATTATCATAAGCAGATGACAGATGGAACTGCAGCACCCTGTTTGTTTGAAATTCTTCCACACTGACTCAGCTTCATGATATGTTCAACCTCTCAAGGATTAATGCCTCTCCTGGCCACTGATTCGAGAAAGTGAAGGAAACCAGTTTCTAGTACATAGAGTGACAATGTAGTCAATTTAAGAAAGTCAACACTCACTATTCAAGACATATGTCAGCCACCCAAAAGTTCTAGTTGTGCTTTGTACAACTCTGTGAACAAATTTATCCCATAATTCATCTATAGGTTTACTAAAACACTTCTCATCTTCATCCAAAGTCAAATTTAGGCACCATTTCTTTGATGACAATAGACAGGTTTAAAATGAAAGTAATTTAGTAAAAATATTTATTGCATGTAATCTCTGATGATGACAATAGTTGTATATAAAAAACCTTTTCTATTCTGGAAAACTTAATGGATTTAGGCATATGAATAATGTATTAATGCTGTGGTAAGGGTAGTCTCATTTAAAATTGGAAAGAAATACAATTTAAATAATTTGAATTGAATTGTTCTTCACTCTTAACCATAATGAAAAAGTTTAAGGTAAGGTTTGAGCACAACTTTTAATTACTGGGCTAGTCAAATCTAATTTCTACCTATTTTACTTTTGTAGCATTTTTAAGGCTAGCTTTTAGGTGCTAAAATAAGATCAATGAAAAGCTTCCATTAAAAACATCACATGACGTGAAGAGAGGAGAAGGACCAAAAAGTAATGATAATGAATCAGTAAAGTCACTAATACCCAAACTGGGTCCTTTTGAAAAAGCGCAAGTTGCACCAAGCATATACAAAGAATCAATGTAAATATAAACCAAATAAATATAGAATTTTTGTAGTACATCAGTGGAAAATACTATACCAGCAGCTTTCAGGGTTATACAGATAATAAAATAAAGCCTCTTAGCAATAGCTGAGAAGGTATGTAACCCCTGTTTCTATCATATGCTGTATTTAATCCTTCCTGCACAGTGAAGCAGCCTTCCATAAACCAATTTAACAGCTGACTCTAGTTACTTACTAAACATGAAAAGAAATCTAGATGAAATCACTTCAAGTAAGTAAGAGCATCCTGGTTTACACAAATTTGTTTCTTTCTAAGCCTTTGTATGATTCCACATGTCACCTCATATGGTCACCAAGATAGTAGGGATTAGTCCTGAGAGACAGAGATAAACTTCAGCCAGATGACTTCTGATTGGACAGCCTGCCTGACTGGTATTGTGCTTTCAGATATTTGCACTGCTGCTGACCTACTGTCAAAACACATTTTCTGACAAAAATCCCTGCTTAAATGAAATGCAAAAATGGCTCCCCCAGGATGATTTTTTGAAAACTCAGTGGTTCCTTTTTAAGTTATTTCCAAAACATTCCTACCACTGTTATAGCTGCCAGAGACAAATAAAAAAAACAAATTCTTTTTCTTGGGGAAAGGGGGAGTCAAGTGACTAGAAACATTTAAAAGTATCAAGCCAAAGAAAACTATTAAAAAATAAAATACTTGGAAGAAAGAAAATCTGAAGATAAAAATAATGAGTGCTGGAGTAATGCAGTCATAGAAACTACCAGAAGGGATGCAATAGAAGACACAAAAATGTAAAATTTCATCTGACTTCAATATACTATAATACTCAGCATTCCTGACTTAAGAGCTCTCAGAGCTTTAGATTATATACTGTATGTATATATATATGTACACATATATTATACAAATGCCTTTTCCCCAACCCCCTCCCAAATATCTAAATGAATAGAGCACCTATGACAATATTATGGTTGTCAATATGGTACTTGGGTTTGAAAAAGAAAGAACTTAAAATTATATCATATCAATTTTTTAATAACATGAACACAATGGATTCTAGCCCTTTCTAAACCACTTTTCAGTTTAACGCTATCAAAGCTTGAAAACTCATAATAGTAATATATCAAAAATAAACCCCTCCCCACTTCATTTTTATTAGAGTTAATCTGTCCTATAGATAAAAGTGCCACATGGCCCTATATTTGCAAAGTGAGCAATACCAAACTTGCTATTTTCTAGGCAAATCAGTAGCATATATACATATTCCTATGATGACATCTTCATTCCCTTTTGGCCAATATGAAGAGAAAAAATTACTGATAATGTGGCCATATATGTTCTTGGCTACTAGATTTTTAAAAATTATGTCATTTTCTTAAAGATTCTCAAAATTACAAGCTTAAAAACAAACACCTGTTTTGTAATTCTTGTATTAAAAAAATTGCATAAAAGATGCCTGATTTCTATCTGTATAAACGGAAATCTTCAAGTCTTCCCAAGGGTCTAAAACACATTTAGCAACACAATACATTTCTCACCTACTATTATGTAACTGACTTCAAAACAGTGCAATCGTCCTGAAGGTATAAAGGACCAGTTCTTTGCAACTTGTAAACCCACCTACATGATTGCCATGATTTATCAGGGACCAAGAGGGTCACCAACTTCCTAATTCAGCAGAAAGCCTCAACTTTTGGAAAAACAGACTTTATAGAGATTATAACTTGCTATACACCAGGCAATTTTTTGTGTTTTGTGACATTCAAAATGTTCAATTTTACTTGACTCAATTTGAAGTAACTGAAGTTTATGAACAGATTTGTGATTTTTGCTTGGTTTCTGTTAAAGCAAATTTAGAAAATGACATACTATGCTGGTACACAAAATAACTTTTATGCTATCAGTTTCCCCATTAGCTCAGCAGGACAAACATCAAACTTTACAGTCGTTTGAAAGCCTTCTTGAGAATCTGGTGAACTGTCCAAATATAAGGACTACATCACTCAATTCTTAGAATGATGCTCCTTCACAAACTCTGTTCATCCTTGAAAAAAGACAATGGTTTGTTACAAACAAAAATACAACATTTACAAGTATTAATTAAAAATCTTAACTTTTAAAATGGACTCAATAACTAAAACTTGTATCCTTTGTAGTCATGTTAAGCAAACTTAACTTTCTTAAGTAACCCATCACTAAATACATATTTTGTTTCTTGACTTCTTAAAAAGGAATTTCCTTCTCAAGTGAGGAATTATAATCTAACATTATGTCAGTTTCCAATTTTCAAACTCTACTTTAGTCCTATTTTTCTTATAAGTGATAATTTTTATCAGGCTTAGTGAATGAGTAACATAAATAAAGTATTGTTGGGAACAATGTATGATATACACAAATGCAGACTATCAAGAATTAAAATAGGTACTTTATAAATGGCAAAGGCTACATAGTATACTGGGAAGCTCAAGCCTACTACCCATTTTAGATGAAAACAAGAAAAGTTTTACAAGAATGATAATCCAAATATTGTAGTACCACAGACACTCAAATATGTCTGCAAAAAATTACTCTTCTTATGTACAATTATCACTACTTTTTAGGGCCATATCCTTATAGCTTCTTTTAATTAGAAAATTCACTAGAGATTCTCTGATAAAGTGTTAATATGGGAAAAATTTAAAAATCAGTATTTTCCTCTAACATAAATATATCATTTTGCTTTATGTAACATCTTGAAGACTTTCCTGTTGGTGGTACAATGTAGATGCAAAGGGCAACAGTAAATTACAAATACCTTAAGTAAATGAGTGACAATATAAGTATCTTTAACGTTGAGGACAAAAATGTTTATTTAAAAACATTATATAACTCAAGGGATTGGTTTACTAGTCAGCATCTTTTTACTAAGATTTAGTGCTAACTAAAATAAGCTTTGTACTTTTATGTACTTAGATTTAATTTAAAAGTCAAATGCCATGCTCTTTCATTCAGTTGGTTACTTCTTTTAATGTATTCAAAAATATTGAATACATAGAGCCAAGTTAGAAGCAACAACTGCCCTGTTGCTAATACAGGATACTTTTAAGGATCAAGGACAAGTTTTCAAGTACTGAAGAAAAGAACATTATACATAGAGTACTCCAAATTCATTCCTCATACTCAAAAATTATTTTAGCGGGTTTTTGTCTTTTAATAGTTTTACATAATTCACCATGAAAATGTGAAAACAAGTCAGTTTGGCAATCAATACTTCTCCATTGCACCTTACTTACTTTATGCATGCGGCCCACAAATTACTTCAGCGCAAGAGGCTAGGGTAATTCTGTCCCTAAGGCAATCAAGGAGCTCAGCACAAACCTTGAAATCATTAAAAAAAAAATTTCATTTTCCTCATTTCCCCCATCAATTTACAAGTAAACAAATTATTACTTCTTGAGGAAGGTGGGCGTTGAAAAGCAGAAGTCTCTTCATGATTCCTGGCGCTGAAAATTTCTCGAGGGGAGAAGTGGAGGCAGGTTTTGGAACATTCACAGTTTAATGCAAAAGCACAAATGAATGAAATTCTGTAGTTGCTTTCAGGCAGTTTTGCGCATAGAAAAAAAAGAAATGTTTAGAAAATAAAATGTTTATTTTGTCTTTCTGGTTGTGGCCAATCCGGTCCATTTTGATTCCACCGTAACAGGTGAAAATTGAAATCCCAAATTAATCTGATTTGTGGCAGTAAAGGTCCTTAAGTGCTTTTAGCTCCTCAATCAGTGTCTTGTTTTGGTTTTCAAGCACTGCCACTCTGTTTTCTAAACATTTCACGTATTCTTTCTTCTTTCTACGACACTCTCGAGCTGCTTCCCTGCAAACAAAAAAAGGACAAAAATTTACGCAAATGATTTCTATATTGTTTATTTGGATTTGAGTACTTTGGTCATTTAAAGAATAGCCTGAAGGAATAAACAATATGTTAGGCATTTGGAAAGATATATAGAATGACTGAAATTATATAAAATTTTAACATACCACATAAGGTTGATTAAAAATCATTAACTCCATAAAATTAAATGATCACTTAAAAGTTGAAAAATATCTTTTCAAAATAGAAAACTCTTACAAATCTTCATTTCAGAGCAATTTGAAAATTCTAACAGAAATGGCCACTATTTTCTTTTGCATGGTAGCTCATGTACTTTTTCACACTCACTCTGCAGAACCTTTTTCCTACCTTTAAGAAAAAAAAAAAAAATCTAACAGAAGACTCTTCAATAAATGATGCTTGGAAACCTGGATATACACATGGAAAAAGAGTGAAACTGTTCCAAAACCTTATATGACATACAAATATTAACTCAAAGTGGATCAAAGACCTCTCTATAGGACCTAACACCATCAAACTTCCAGAGAAGCTTCCTTAAATTACATGCCACAGTGATTTCTTGGATATGACATGAAAATATAACCAACCAAAACAAATAGCACTATATTAAACTTAAAAACTGCACATATTGGGGCATCATAAACAATGAAAGGTAGCCAGTGGAATGACAGAAAATATCTACAAATCATACATATCCATAATACCCAGAATACATACAGTATGTATACATGCATTTAAAGTTATACATCCTATAACAACAAAATATCAGAATAAAAAATGAAGATAGGATTTGGATACTAATGAAGATATACAAATAGCCAGTGAGCGTATAAAAAACACTCATCTCACCTAATCATTAGGGAAATGCAAATAAACCCAGTAAGGTGGCTATTTTAAAAACCTCCAGCCACTACCACCATCATCACCAAAATATATCAGGTGATGATGTGAAGAACCTGGAATGCTTTGGAATTGTTTTGGGATATGTAAAATGATACTGGGATATGTAAAATGATACTGCCATTATGGAAAACAATGAAGTTTCCCTGGAAAAATTACAAATAAAATTTACCATATGATCCAGCAAGCCTGCTTCTCATTCCATATCCAAAGCATTAAAAGCAATATTTCAAAGATTTGTGCCCCCGTGTTCAAAGCAGCCAAGAGGTGGCAGCATTTCCAGTGTCTACGATCAATGGATGAATAAAGAAAATGTGAGGCATACATAAATGGAGTATTATTCAAACTTAAAAAGGAAATCCTGACATGCTGTAAGAGGTATGAACCCTCAGACATTATGCCAAGTGAAATAAATCAACCACAAAAAGACCAAGCAGTGTAATTCCACTTGCACGAGATATTTAAAGAAAGCAAATTAATAGACACAAGACCTAAAATGGTGACTTTCAGGGACTTCGGGAGGGGAAAATGGGATAGTTGTTTAATGGATCTGAGTTCTGAGGGAGGTTTTTTTTTTTTTTTCTTTTCTTGGTACCGGGAATCGAACTCAGGACCTTCTGCTTATCAGGCAGGCCCTTGTGCTGCTGACCTATATCCACGGCCCTGACTTCTGAAAGATGCCGTTCTTGGAGATTTGTTGCACCATGATGTGAATGTACTTAATAATACTGAACTGCACTTAAAAATCAGATGTTAAATTCTGTGTTGTGCTATTATGTTTTTTAACCACGACTAAAAATTAAAAATTACTACAAAAAGTTGGACACAGATGAAAAATAATTTAAAAAACTAGTAGCCAGACGTGGGAGCACACATCTGTAATCCCAGCACTTGGGAGGCTGAGGCAGGAGGATTGTTGTGAGTTTGAGGCCAGCCTGGGCTACAAAGTGAGTTCAAGACCAGCCTGAACTGCATAGTGAGACCCTAGCTCAAAAAGACAAAAAACAAACAACTATTTAGCAAGCTACCAGATATACACTAGTAAACTTTTTTATAGCTCTACATAGTCAAAAGCGACATCGAATGTTTTAGACCTTAGGTCCTACCTAGCACAGGTACCAATATAAAGTAGGTACTTACTGTTGAATGAATAAGAGAACACAAAAAATTATAAGTTTTTAAAATATGAGAAAGTTATTTACAATTAATAATTTACACCAGGGGCATGCACAACAGTTTATAGCATTTTCAGTGCCAGCTTCCTGGGTTTAAATGGTTCTGTCTTTCCTGACACTAAGAAAGAGATGAGTATGTTATTTACCTAAAAAGGTTTATGAGGAATGAGTTAATACATGTAAAGCAGACGAAAAAGTGCCTGTTACAAATGTTATGTATTGGGCCCGGGATACAGCACAAGTGCCTGCCTGGAAAGTGCAAAGTCTGCAGTATGATTCCCAGTATCAAAAAAAAAAAAGTTACGCATTATCTCTTTAATAACTCGGATGGTAGTATAATTCTGTTAATGGTAGCCTTCCCTTACTGTTTTCACCCTCATATGGCCTATCAATTCAGAAAAGAAGAACATTTGTTTCTAATGCAAGCTGATTTATAAAACTACATGTAAAGTTGCATTATCCACGATAGATATGGACAACATGTGATCCACTGCATCACTTTACCACTGAAGATTTCTTTAGAAATGAATTTAAAATGGCTCTAACATTCTGCTCTACAGTGAAGAAGGCACATCAAGGGTGCTTTGGAGCCAACAGGAAAATAGGAATTACTCAGAGGTCAACTTGGGTGTTACATATTTGGTAAAGTCTAACAATACAGAGAACATGTAGGATGTGCATACATTTTTAAGAATAATTTCAGCCAAGGTTGATGAATCTCATTTCTTCTATTACCTGAGAACATACAGTTCCATAAATAGAACTGCCCATATAAATGCCGTACATAAGCTTATTTCCAAAGTTGAACTAATATCCCCATAGGTCAGTACCTCCTAACTTTGTTCTATCATAATTATGCTGCAGTATTATGAAAGATTAATGTGAATGTTCCTCAAATATGAAACACCAGGCTAAAAAAAGTGAATTTCTTTAATGGAAGCCTTCTTGGGATTCTTTCAGTGTACTAATGTGAACTGAGGCCCTACAGTGGAATTCTGTAAGGCATGTCGCAAACTTAATCTGTTACATAATACTTTGTGATGACGGTGCACAGAATATATTTCAATTAATACTGTCTTACAAAATGATGCTTAAATTAGCTATGGTTTAACGTAAATAAATTTGGGTACAAATTTTATATGATATAGTAGTAAGAGTTCTAAAAACTAGGGATTAGAAAATCTGGGTTCAGATCCTAACTTTGACACTAAGTTGTATAGCTTCTAGCAGATTCCATCAGCCCTGATTAAAGGACTGCCTTCTTACTTGTTTAAGAAAGAAAAGCAGTCCCCCTGCCATGTAACATGTCCCAAACCTAGATATATGTTTGCTTTATATTAAAGCAGATGCATTAAATATGGTGTGTCATTTTAAATACCAATTTTAACTGATGACATAGCAGGTATTTTAATATTAAGTATTATATTTTAGAGTAGAATACAAAATTTAGATGAGCCTCAAATAAAAAATTTTGAAGAATCTCTGGTTTAGAGATTGACTCTGAAAGCTTCTCAAAACTTTCTGTGAGCAAAAGAGAATGAAGACTCACTCAGGGATTGGTCTATGGCAGTGTGGTGAACCTAGGGCACGTGTGCCTCTGCAGGCTATTTGTTGTCATTGAAAGCTCTAAAAGGTTCACCATTACTGGTCTAGGGCCTTACTGTGATGATTAAAGTGACCTCTAATGTTTCTTCCACTACAAAAAAAGAACTCTTGATTCCAGCATTCAGGCAACAGATGGCCTATAAATTCTGAAACTGACTTACATCTTTTAGAAAGTTCTTTTATATAATGTGTTTCAACATCCTCCTAAATTACTGAATTTTTTTGCCTCTATGATATTCTCATTTTGTTTTGCTTATTTCTTTTTTCAGCATCTTTAACCCTTCCATATAATCTTTTTTCTCTTTGCCTTTAAGTCTGTACATCTTTCTAGTTTTCATTTACATGAATTAATATCACATTCAAAGTATGTGTATTGGTTCTGCCTTTTGTGCCGGGATGTAGAGAATTTGGAAGAATGTTACCCCCAAGTCTCATGGAAAAGAGAAGTAATGTCAAATTAATGAATTTTTCCAAACCTATCAGAGACCTAAGACCACAGGAAAATGATCCAGAAAATCTAAGGAGACAATGCATCAGGAAGAGACAAAAACATAGCCTTGCCTGGCATATAGGCAACTGGACAATGGTCCTTTTTTTTTTTTTTAACCATTTCATCTAAAATTAGCATTTGAAGGCTAGATTAAAAGCTGGTAGTTAGTGGTCAGCCTCTGAAGAATATAGTAATTGCGAGAGTAACTGGTAGGATCTTAAAAACTTTTTTTCCACAAACCTCATCAGGTGTTCACAGAAAAGACTGTAAAGAGTCCTAAGTC